GTCTCAATGGCACTGGATGCCATTCCTGAGGATGACATTCAAGGTTGTTCTCTGGCCCGCACACACACACACACACACAAATATACATGAGCACACAAAGTACATTACAAAAAGTAAAAGTGCTCCTAAGCCTGTGTGCAGCATTCCTGACTAGCTACTATCATTAATGTCTGCTTTCTTCATGATCTGTAGCGCCTGCACTATGGGATGGGATGGTACGTGAGCCGGGAACTAAGCCAGAGACTCAAAAACACACCCACACAGACAGACAGAGACATGGGGACACGGGTCATCCTTGATACAAGAGTGCCAAGTTCATTGTGCTCCAGGGAAGCTTATATAGGGATCCTTAACTGATAGCCACACCCCAGCTCTCGGGATCTTTCAGCTGCAGGCTTTAACAGAACCCACTCCCCTGCCATCAAGGTCTTGTGCTCAGAGCAGCTGCAGGCACAGGTGTTTGCTCAGTTCACTCCAGCAGGCAAAGGGTCTGAGGTAAGCAAAGAAAGTCAAGAGGCAGGAGTCTTCAGCCCCCAACCATGATCCCTTCATTGTTATTGGTTTTGTCTGCTTTAGGGACAAGGTTTCTCTCTGTAGCCCTGGCTTGCCTGTAAATATCTACATAGACCAGGCTGGCCTCTAACGTATGGAAATCTACCTGCCTTTCTTCCTGATGCTGGGAATAAAGGTGTGTGCTGCCACACCCACCATGATTTCATTCTTGGCATACACTCAGTAAACACATGACAGATGAAAAACAACTGACATACAGTTTCTAGAACTTGGACTTTCCAAGATGGTTTATTTCCAAGGCTCTCTATTCCAGACACATATTCCCCACCCCTTGACTTACCCCAGACACTAGGAAGGGAGTGACTTTTCCAGTTTCATAATGTAGCCTGGACCACTGTGTCCAGTCCTTTTGTCCTCATCTACCCTTGGTCCCTTTGGGGATCCTGGGATTAGAAAAGAAGGTGAAGCTGTGTCCCTCATCTATCCATCCATCCATGCACTCATCCCCCCATTAATCTATCTAGCCATTCTCTAATTCTATCAATTCATCTACATATCCGCCTATCTATCCATTGATCCATCCATGGATCAACTTACCATCTATCCACTCATCCATCTAACACCCAATCCAGCCATTCGCCATCCATCCATCCATCCATCCATCCATCCATACATCCATCCACTCACTCATCTACCTGTCCATCTACCCACCCACGTATCCATCCATCCATTCACCAATATGTATTTAAGGTCGCAGAGTGCCAGGTGCCTTTCTTGCCTTTCTAAGGCTCTGGGTATCAAGCATGGGTAATCCAGGCCAGGCCCAGCCTGGAGGGTCACATGCTCACCCCGGAAGGACCAGAGGCAATTGGTCCTGGAGTAATCACATAGGTTCTTCTACAGTTGTACACCGTGAAGAGTTCGGTGGGATAGAGAGGAACAGGTGCTCTGAAAACCTTCAGCCGTCCACAGGCTAGACTACAGCACACTCGAGGACATAAAGGCTCACTCCTCAGGGCCTTGAGCAGATCCTGTGTGCTGGATATCTGGGAGACGTGGCACTATCTGTGTGAGGCTCATCCCCTGGAAACTCTCAGCTAGAGCGTGTGGTCTGGACAAATCTTAGGACCTCCTTTGAGGTGTGGGATCAGCATCTCCTTTCAACCCTGTGGGATCAGCCACTGAAGAACCAGAGAGCCTGGGGAGGCTAAAACCTTCCTTAAACAGGGAACCTGGGGCTGGCCTAGGCAAGGTCAGCCAGCAGGGGGCAGAGCAAGCAGTGAGCTCAGTTTGCTAAGGCTGCTCTTTACCAGGCTGGTTGCCATGTTTCTACAGAGGGAACTTTGTCTCCCCAGATAGAACCCCAGAGGGATTCTCCAGGGACAGGCCATCCTTACGTGCAGAGAAACAAAAATCTAAATCTAAGAACAAAGAGCCCAAACCCAACCATCAAAATATGCAAAGTGTAAAAGCTGAAGAAAAATGAACTCTTTGAACCATGTCATATGTCCTTCCTTTTGTGTGAGATGAAGCTTCAGGTAGCCCAGGCTGGCTTTAAACTCCTTACATAATCCAGGATGACCTTGAACTTCTGATCCTCCTGCTGCCACCTCCTAAATGCTTGATATTATAGTTTTGTGCTATCTCACTGGGTTTATATGATGCTGGAATTAAACTCGGGGATTTGTGTATGCCAGGTAAGTCCTACATCCCGATCTTAGTACTTAAGGTTTTTCTTTTTTCTTTTATTTTTTTTTTCAGTGGTCTTTCAAGACAGGGTTTCTCTGTGTAGCTCTGGCTGTCCTGGAACTCACTCTGTAGACCAGGCTGGCCTTGAACTCACAGAGATTTGACTGCCTCTGCCTCCTGAGTGCTGAGATTAAAGGTGTGCGCCAGTGTGCCACCATGCCCAGCTTAAAGATTTTTGCACTTTTTTTTTCTGTGTGGTTTGCTCTTAGAGAAGGTTCTTTCTATGTCATTTAAGAAAAAAAGCTTTGATGGACATCAACTTTGAGAGCAAAGGTCAGTGTCAACCTGCTCTTTCCGTATGAGGAAGACAGCCACTGTCTTAAGTTGGATGAGCCAAGCTTCTGCTGCAGCGCAAACGCAACCACAGACAGCACATGTGGCCATGTTCCAAGACGTCGTTTATGGACACCCAATCACCTGTTTCAGATCACTTGTCCTCAAACACTGTTTTTCCTTCATTTAAAAACATTACTTTGGGGTGGTCATGACTTTAATTATGTCTGAGGCCAGCCTGGTCTACAGAATGAGTTTCTAGACTAGCCAAGGCTACATAGTGAAACTCTGTTTCAAAAAAAGAAAGAAAGAGAAAACGAGAGAAAAAAAGGAAGAAAGAAAGAAGAAAGGAAGGAAGGAAGGAAAAGTCAGGAGGATTGAAGAGATGGCTCTGCCCTTCACAGCACTTCCAGCTGTATCCTAAGGACTGAAATTTTCTCCCAGCAGCCATGTTGACAGACTCAGGAGACTTCAGGAGATCCAGTGCCCTCTTCTGACCTCTAAGGGCACCTGCAAGTACACCTGTTCAAGTGCATGAACATGCACACACTCAGGCGCATGCACACATTTTAAAGTTAGTCAGGTGTAGTAGCACACACTTGTCATGCTTGCCCTCGGGAGACTAAGGCAGGAGCATCGGAAGGGGAAGGCTGCTCTGGGCTACACAGTTGAGTTTGAGGCCAGCTAGGACTGAATAAGATCCTGTCTCAAGAAAACAAACAACAAAGTTAAAGTCTTTCTTCCCTCAAAAAAGTATGCAGAGGGCCTGGAGAGATGGCTCAGCAGTTGAGTGCACACTGGGGGCTCTTCCATAGGACCCAAGTTTGATTCCCAGCACCCACATGTTGGCTCTCAACCATCAAGGGTACCAGAGCCCCCCCCCCAAAATTTATGTAGAGGCAGTAATGGTCAGCATAAGTCTCACCTCCTCCCACAGCCACACTCACTTATTTTTGTCCTAGCCCCCTCCCCATGACCTTTCTGTGACCCCAATGCTCCCTCCCAGTTCCTTCTTTTGGGCCTAAATCCCTGTTTCTTTTCTGTGCAGGGCTCTGAATGGCTCTGTTCTTAATGGCAGGGGACTCTAAGAAGGAACTTGACTTGCTGTCCTGGAGAAGTCAGAACTGGAGATTTTGGTTGGCCTTTTCCACAGGGCCTCTTCCCTCCCATGCCGCCATGGCTCCACGGCTGTTTCTCTGCTCATCCCCTGCTGTCCCAGCAATAGTCTCCACAGGCATGCATAAATCTGTACCAGCACACACACACACACACACACACACACACACACACACACACACACACGTTGTTCTTTTCTAAAGAGACTTGGGTGATGGCTCAGCAATTAAGAGCACCTGTTGCTCTTCTGAAGGCCCTGAGTTCAGTTCCCAGCACCCATGTCAAGTGACTCACACTTCTGGCTCCAACTTCACGGGATCTGGCCCCCAGTTGTGGCCCGTTACGATTAGTTGTGATTATCTTGTGAATTGGGACCTTAGTGGGCGAGGGCCAAGGGTGAGAGATAGATATGCCATGCAGACAGAGCTTGAGTGTAGAGTTTATTAAGAGAAGGGTAAAGGGGAGGGGAGAGAGAGAGAGAGAGAGAGAGAGAGAGAGAGAGAGAGAGAAGGTGGGACTTGCATCTTAAAGTGACCTTTGCGCTTACAGTCAGGGAACTGCTTGTCACCCACAGAGGGCTGATGCACTGTGCCAGGTTCCCAAGGGGCAGGGCCAAGGTGTACCTGGATGCTAACAGCCCCTGCAGGCACCTGTACACAGAGGCATGAGCACAGACACAGAAAAGAAAACAAGCATCTTTTAAAAAGTTCATAAGACCCTTACTGCAGCCCACCAGAGGTGATCCTTCTGACAAATTCAGTATAAGAAAATGATCTGTTCAAAGACGGCTACACAAGGTATTTCAATTAGAATTGTAGGGTGGCTTAGGATGTGAAACTGTCTAAATATGCCACACCAGTGCTTCTCAACCCTCCTAATGCTGAGATGCAGGATATCTGATATATGACCCCAAGGCCCACAGGTTGAGAATCACTGCCCTACACTGAAGAAACTATGAGACACACTTTCCAAGAACATAGCATGTAAGAGGATTAGCATGTCCTGACAAACATAGTTTGAATATGACATGTCCCCCATAGGTTCACATGATTGGAACACATGGTCCCCAGGTGGTGGCCCTGTTTGGGACTGTTTTAGAACCCAGGTCACGTCCTTGCTGGAGGAAGTATGTTGCTGAGGATGGGCCTTCAGGCTTAATAGCCTTGCTCTCCTTCCTGACTGATGACATCACGTGACAGGCAGACCTCATGCTCCTGCCACTATGATGATGAACGCTATCCCCCTGGGACCCTGGGTCGCAATCAGCCCTTCCTCCCTTCGGTTGCTTTTGTCAGCGAATTTCACCACCACAGCGGACAATGCAGAATGAAATACATCCTTACTGAGAAGAATGTGAAAACAAAGTTTTATTTTTAACAAAAAGATTTAATTTTCACATTAAGACCTCAGCTACACATGCTTAAAAACATTCACAATGCTGAGCACGGCAGCAAATTCAGCTCTTCATCCTGCTGGGTGTGGCGGCGTATGCCCCGTGTGTTCCCAGCGCGCAGGAGGCTGAGGCGTGGCGGTTTTGAGTTCAAAGTTAGGCTATGTGGCGAGACCCCATCTCAACAAAAACAATACTGTATTCCTTTTCCTTGGATGGTGTCTTTCACAGTTTTTCTCCGAGTGAGCATTACTGGTGTGGTTAGAAGAACTTGGATGGGTCCGTGAGTTGTCTGGGAAGGGGGACTGTCCCCTTTGTCAGATGGTCAAAGTGGCGCCAGCTGCCATGGGAGAAGTCTTGGATGCCCTCATAAGTACCGGATGGGGGCTGTAACTGTACTTGCATGTTCTCTGGGCCAACTAAGGGAAGGCACTTCTTGGGTGATGCTGGTGGCCCAACCTCCGCCACCAGTGTTGTTACCTATACACATCTCCCCCTGCCCACCTAGTCCGCCCTGGGAGAAGAATGGAGTCTTGCCCTCTTCTCCACAGACCTTAGAGGGAGTGGTGAGTCTGGGAGGCACGGTGGGTCCAGGGCCTGTGTCTATATGATGAGGACAGAGGCCTCTGAGGTGCAGCAGGGGGCAGGGTAAGATGGAGGAGGCACAGGCCTCAAGGACTCAGACGGTTCAGTGGCTCCTCCGTCTGCTGCAGCAGTGGCCATTTTGCGACTCCTTCTCCAGGTCCTGAAGTAGATCTTTCTGGAACTGCCTGTGGTACCGACAGAGCAGGGAGCGTGAACCAACCATTCCCTCGGGGATCATTCCTGAGGCACGCATGTGGGGAGGGGGTGCGACACTAACTCTCCCAAGGTATCCCCCCCCACATCACTCCCCTCCTTACTGCCTGTATGTGAGGGGTGTTCTAGTTGTTGATCAAGTGCCAAATCCCCACAGGTGGAGCTCTGGGTGGCCCCAGGCCGAGCCTCACACCTCACTGGGTCACCTTAGGTGACACGGAGTTTGTGTTTCAGTTTCCTCATAAGCAAACGGGGATAACAGGGCCTAGCTCTTAGGATCCAGAGCAGGATCCCACCAGAGACTAGGTCACGCAACTGCCCATGTCATGGGACATCAGCGCTCACTTACAAAGCTTCAGGACCGATTCATTCCATGCATGCCTGCTCAGGTGGACTGTTTCCTGTTTCCTCTTTCTTTTGTTGAGAAACTGGACTTCCTGACTCCCAAGGAAAGAGGAGTCATGTTCCCAAGACAGGACCTGGGCCCACTTGTCCATCCAGTCCCCAGGCTCTTCCGGGTCCCGCCCGGCTGGAAGTTCTGGCAGAAGGTTGGGAGTGGGAGAAAGGGGATGGTGGCTACCTTGACATGGTCAGCCTGTTCCCAGCTTGGAACTGAAGGTCCTCAACCTCCTGCCGCAGGGTGGTGTTTTTCAGGGCTAATATTAGATTTTTTTCTTTCTGAAACAAACCGAGAAGGAGTGTGGAAAGCTGTTTCACTCACTCGGCACAGTGGGTGCCCTCGCCTCTCCCCCGACACTGCTTCTTCCTAGTTAGCCCTTCACTTTATGGAGCAAGCCGCTAATTGGAAACAAGGCCTGAGCTAAGGTGAAACTGTTGACTCAACCTTTGCTATTGGAGAGTGTGAAAAACAAAACCAGTGCTGGTAAGGCTGGCTCAGCCAGGCCTGGGGAGATGCTCAGTGGTTAAGAGCACTGGCTGCTCATGCCAAGGACCCAGGTTTGATTCCCAGTGCCACCTCAAGACTTCTTATAACTGTCTGTAACTCTTGCAGGGAATCCGACACCCTCTCTGGGCCCCTGTGGGTACTGCATACATGTGGTGCACATGTATGCATGTAGGCAAAACACTCACACACATAAATCTTAAACAAACAAAAAAAGGTTGAAAAATGGCTCAGGGTGTAAAAGGCGTTTTCTGCCATGCTGGACAACCTGCGTTCAATCCCAGCAACCCGCATGGTGAAAGGAGAGAACTTACTCTTGCAAACTGTCATCTGCCCTCTTCCGCATGCGTGCCATGCACGCGCCCACCCATATGTACACAAAATCAATCAATCTAATAAAATCCCAAAGAAACCAATTCTGCATTGTTCCAGGGTTCTGAGGCCCTGGGTCTTTGAAAGATCTCAATTCCCCAGCTCTACCGTTGCTGAGGCTAGCCTCCTCTGCCTGCCTGACCTATGGGCCTCACCTCCTTCCTCAGCCCCTGCCTGTAGTGTGACAGCTGCCACCCCTTCTGAGGAGCAGGGGCTGCTGGGGCCCCAGTGCTGCCCTAGTTACAGCAACCCGGGGGCCCAAGAAAAGACAGGAGTCAGGTGACAAGGAGCCGCTGCCTGACCCAGACCAGACTCCTGGCAGGAACAGCAGAGACAAGCTGTCAGGAGTGGGTTGAGGGGTGAAGGGCGGGGTGTGGGATAAGCCGGAACTGGAAATGTCCAGAAAGTGGCGGCCTGCTGCCTGCCCAGCACTGACCAGCATCTCTAGCAGAAGGAGCTGCTTCTCCAGCTCATGGATTCGCTCATTCTTCATCTCAATAACATGGTGCAAACTCTCGAGCTCTTGCTCCCAGAACGGGCCGGGGCTCCCATAGTCCTTGAGAAGAACACAGAGGGACTCCATCAATCAGCAGGTAGTGAGGGACGTGGGTCTCCCCTGCTCCCCTCCCTATCCTGCCAGCGGCTCACTGCACTGGTCTGGTGTGATCTCCCTTTCACAGCCAAGGCTGCATTTCTCTCATCCTCCCAGAGGCCCTTTAGGAGGCCTGTGTCTGCTGGGCACACAGCTGTGGTTCAGTAGGCTGACACACCATCTTGCGTCAGGTTTGCTGGTTGCCCCAAATTCCCTCTGAACCCATAGAGCTGTGTGCTCCACCATCTGTCTGCCTCTCTTGGTGTGAATTGAGGCCCCTCTTGCTGCTGGGCTCCTGTGAGGGGTGTGGTTCAGGATTGGGGCTTGTCCTCTATGTTTGTCTGCCCATGACCTCCCCACAGCACCAAGGATAAAGGCCGGCCAGGGTTCTGCACCCACCTGGATGTGGTTCTTATAGAGCTGGCTAAGTATGGACCCTTCCACCTTGTTCATCTGGGCTTGGATGACCTCCTGTGATGAGGCCAGCATTGCACAGGAGTTCTGGAGGAGGGAGCAGGAAGCAAAGAGCTTGACTTGTCAAGGTGATTCTCTTTACATCAGTTAAAAGGGAAGGACTGGGGCCCTTCAGTGTGCTTCTGGCCTGTATCATACACCGCCCAGCAGAGCAGGTTGAACCCACAGCTACTGGGATTTGAAACATCCCAGCCCCACCTCTCACTGTATAGCCTTTCATGGCTCTTGAGATGATTAATTGATAACTTGACAGGATCTAGAATCATCCAGGAGATGGATGCCTGTGAGAATGTTTCTAGATCAGGTTCACTGAGGTCTGGGTGGCACCATGCCATAGGCTGGGGTCCTGGACTGATAAAAAGAACAGAGCGAGCTGAGCATCATGGCTCATCGCTTCTCTGCTTCCTGACCGTGGGTGCAACGTGACCGGCTGCCACACCTTCCCACCACGATGAAATGACTCAAACCACGACCCAATGTGAACTCTTCCTTCCCTAAGTTGTTTCTTGTCACATATTTGACCACAGTAGTGAGAAGAGTTACTACTGTCCCTACACTCTTGGGATGACGTCATGGTTATCTCAGAACAAAGTCAACCTACATTCAAAGCTCAGCCATGCTGTGCTCTATGCGGTTCTCATCCTCCACTTCTGTCTGTGCAGGGGCTCAGCATCACACCATACCCCCAGTCTCAGGGAACGTTCTCTGTACTTTTCCCCTGACAGAGATCTTCTCAGCCATTCCCTTTGTGACAGAGGCCAACCTCTTCCTATACTCCTAGGCTGGGTCCCTCCCTATGGCCCTTGCTCACCCCTGGCCTTCCTACAACTCTGGAATTCTGGACTTCCTTAGACACCTTCTTTTCTTCCCTTCCTCTATGCTTTTGAGCAGGTAGCTTGATGCTGCTGAGGGCTTCCCGTTACTGAAGGATCCTAAGCATCTTCCGGGCTTAGTCCCCATCCCTCTGAGAAGTCTTTCTGAACATCTGCTTTCAGGACACTGCCATTCCTGAACCCTCATGATGCCATCCCCAAGATCCTTCTGACAGTCTTTCATTTCTGCTGCTATGTGATAAAACATCCCAACACAGCCGGGCGGCGGTGGCACATACCTTTAATCCCAGCACTTGGGAGGCAGAGGCAGGCAGATCTCTGTGAGTTCAAGGCCAGCCTGGTCTACAAGAGCTAGTTCCAGGACAAGCACCAAAGCTACAGAGAAACCTTGTTTCGAAAAACCAAAAAAAAAAAAAAAAAAAAAAAAGACACACATATAGGCAAAAACTTACACATAAAATAATAATGAAATAAATTACCGTCCAAACCCCACAAAACAGGTGATGCCATACAAAAGGAGGGCAACCCTGATAGCATGCCAAGTCCCCTCAACCAACCATCTGGTTAGGATATATAAAAAACAAGCACCCTAGTCCCCCTTAACCTACTGGCATCATTTTGGCCGCTTTGGAGCTCCATGTGGCTCCCCCTTGCCATTGTCCCACTAACCCAACCCAAATGACCAGGTCCTTCTCACCTGCAATGAGGCTTTGGCCTCTTGGACGGAGACACTAGAAGAGTCTTTCTCCCGTGCACTTGACGTCTGCAGGGCTGTGAAGACAGGAGATCCCTATAAACTCAAAAACTTTCTACAAAACCTCTGCCAAACTCCTTAAGGTCTACAAGGTGCTGATGATCACCCCAGGGCCCACTGGACCCAGGAGCTGTGGAATGGTCTTCATCTGTCTCTTTCAGGAGCTTCATCTTCTCTCAGGAGCCGTGCTGGTTGTATTATCAACTAAATACAACCTAGAGTCACTTAAGAAGAGAGAACCTTGCCAGATGGTGGTGGTGCTCGCCTTTAATCCCAGCTCTTGGGAGGTAGAAGCAGGTGGATCTTTGTGTTCGAGGCCAACCTGGTCTACAGAGTGAGTTCCAGGACAGTCAGGGCTACACAGAGAAACCCTGTCTTGAAAAACTAAAAAGGAAAAGAAAAGAAAAAGAAAATGGAACCTCAATTGAGGAACTGCTTAGGTCAGATTGACCTGTGGTATATCCTGTGGACCATTGCCCTGACTACTAATTGATATGGGAGGCTCAGCCCACTATGGTCTGGCAGGAGGCCTGGGCTATTGTAAGAGGCTGAGCATGGTCAGATGAGAGCCAGGAAGCAGGCTGGCAATCAGTATTCTCCCGTGGGTCCTGTCTCCAGGTTTCTGTCTGATTTCCCTCAGTGATGGAGTGTGACCTGGAAGTGTAAGTCAAATAAACCCAAACTGCTCCTGGTCAGTCTGCATCACAGCCACAGAAAGGAAGCAGGACCAGAGTCAAAGACTTTCGAGGGGCTTCACAAATCCCTGGGGAACAGAAAGGTCTTATCCTAGGGGAGCAGTGGGCACTCAGGTGTCCCTGAGGCTCAGCCACAAGGACCCTGCAGCAGGGATGCTGCAGGAGGACCTGCGGTGCCCTGGATCCTGCAGCAGGCCTGATGATGTCCTGCTGCAGCAGGCCAGGGGAAAGAAAGGCATGCAGCCGAAGCTGTGCCGTAAAGTCACAAAAAGAACAGGGCATCTGTGGCAGGAATCCCTGCAGTCCTCCTGCCTCCCCTTCTTCAAGACTGAGAGATGGTGAGGCATGATGACACGTGATTAAAGTTTATCGCGTCAGCTGTGAAGTGGGGCCAAGAAGTTCTATCAGGTTGTCTCTACCGGCAGGGTCCAGGGGAAAGAGCCCTGCCAGGTCTTCCCAGATGGGCAGTGCAGGGCGCTGGAGATCCATCCACCCCACTATGAGTCTGGTGAGAGATACCACTCCACCTTCCCAGAAACCCTCTTGGGAAAATCCCCAGGACCGTCTAATTGGTCACTCAGAAATGGCCAATGACCAGGCAGAGAAATGCCACAGGGGTGACTGGGAAGGAAGTTAACTACAACCAAAGCACCAGAGTCACAGAAAAGAGAGCTTACAGCTAGATACAGGTAATTCTCACCTGTAGTAGTTGGAAGGCTGAGACAGGGGATTACCAGGAGTTCAAAGCCATCCTAGGTTATACAGTGAGACCTTCTCTCTCTCTCTCTCTCTCTCTCTCTCTCTCTCTCTCTCTCACACACACACACACACACACACACACACACACACAAACAAACAAAACAAATAAAACCAGGTGTTTAAACACACGTCTTTAATCCCAGTGCTTGGGAGGCTGAGGCAGGTGGTTCTCAGTGAGTTCCAGGCCAGCCTGCTCTACATGGTAAGTTTCAGGACAGCTAGGGTTACACAGTGAGACCCTGTGTAGCCCAAACAATGACAACCACTGATGTAGTATTGTCATACCACCACTATCAGAAAAAATTCCAAATAAATCTTTGTTTGCTTGAGTTAGGGTCTCACTATGATGATCTGAGTTTGATCCCCAAGACCCATGTAGCAGGAGGAGAGAACTGACTCCTGCGGTTTGTCTTCTGACCCCCCACATGTTGTGGTATGTGTGCACACACCCACACCCGTATACACACACATATACACAAATACCATATAAATAAATGCAATAAACTTTATAAAAAAAACAAAAAGAAAAATAGAATTCTGACTACTGGGAGGATCCCCTTTAGGCAATCCCCCTGAGCCCCATAGGGGGTCACTTTATATCTGTATGTTTATTTTACTAAGTATTATTAAGCCAGTGCCCACAGGGCGAGCTTTTCCCACGTAGCCATGTAGGCAGAGAAGGTAGATTTTAGACAGAAATCTGCAGGATGGACAGAGGCTGAGCAGCGGTTTAGGCTGGGGGGGGGGGGGGGCGTGCTTCAAGGGGTTCTATAATTCTACTGCCAAACATTCTGTGCCAATGTCAATGTTTCAAAAGTTTGAAATTTGTTCAGACCTCTGTCCTAGTTACTATGTTACTGGGAGTGGAAGAAGGCTGGAATGCCAGAGGAGAAGCAAATCTTCATGAAAAGGATCACTTTTAAGAACCAAATCTAGATGCCTAGACTCTCAAGAAGCAAGCAAACCCTTGGGTGTTATGGTCTAGACTTGCTTCATTTTTTATGAGACAGGGTCTCACCTTGTAGCCCAGGCTGGCCTCCAATTCCATCACCCTCCTGCTTCAGCTTTCCGAATGTTGGATTATAGTATGAGCCAAGAAATTCAGCCTGAACCAGCCTTCCTTTTTGTAGCTGGACTTGGTAACGTGCTTGATAGAGTATTAAATGAGAAGAACAAGGGCTGGAGAGGGGCTCAGGGTCAGGAGTGCATGCTGCTCTCACAGAGGACCAGAGTTCAGTGCCCAGCACCCACTTAACACAGCTCATAATCACCTGTAACTCCAGCTGCAGGGAATCTGATGCCTCTTCCAGGCTCTGAGGGTATTACACACAGAAGACTATATATATATATACACAGACAACTTTTTTCTTTGAAAAAAAAAAAAACCAAAAAACAAGTATTTAATAAAAAGCAAAAATGAAAGCAAAACTCTCTCTCTCTCTAAAGAATAGGATATAGAATTTTCCTATGAATTCCATATGTTCATAAGAGCTTATGAAAGTAGTAATTCCGAAGCCAGGTATGATGGCACACTCCTTTAACCTCAGCACCTGGGAGGTAGTTACAGGCAGATTTCTGTGAATTCAAGGCCAGCCTGGTCTACATACTGAGTTTTAGGACAGGCAGAGCTACATAGTGAGACCCCATCTCAAAAAGAACAAAACAGAACAACAACAAAAACCAAACAAACAACCAAAACAAAACAAAACAAGTAAAAATTCTGGATAAGGGTCAGGAGCCTGTAGGTTCATTTTCAAAGTCAATTTCAATGTTGTTAAAACTTGCACAACTTTTTCAAAGTAGATATCACAAATTCCAACAGTACACAAAACAATATCAACCAGTCAGGGAAACGTAGATCAAAAGTCCAATTGCTGGGCAGTAGTGGCATATGCCTTTAACCCCAGCATTCGGGAGGCAGATTTCTGTGAGTTCGAGGCCAGCCTGGTCAACAAGAGTGAGTTCCAGGGACAGGCTCCAGAGCTACTGAGAAACACTGTCTCAAAAAACCAACCAACCAAAACAAACAAACAAACAAACAAAAGCCCAATAAACTGGGAACGGTGTCATTCCTCTGTGGTGTTATTCATCCACTAAGGAGGCTGAGGCCAGGCTGGTTGGTTTACTGACACCCAGACTCAAAAGTAAACCGGCTGGGTGTGGTGGCACATATCTTTAATTCCAACACTCAGGAGGCTGAGGCAGGAGAATCATTGCAAGCTGGAAGCCAGGTTGGGCTACTCATAAGTTCCAGGCTGGCCTATGTAACACAGTGAGCTTATGTCTCAAACAATAACAATAAAACAAACAAAACCCCAAATACCCTCAATGAGATGCCACCTCATGGTCACCACAATGATGACAGCAATGGACAAAGCCCACATAGTGACAAGGCTGTGGAGCCACCGGGACCCTCAGACCTCGCTGGGAAGAGCATGAAGTGGGACAACTGCTATGGAAAAGAGTCTCGAAAGGGTAAGAATAGAAATACCATCGTCTCCCTCTTACATGTAAGGTGAGGCAAAGTACGTTGGGCCAGTGGTACCATTCATGGTCGCTGGAGACAGGACAGCTTAGATATCCATGATGAATAAGTCAACAAAGCATGGTATGTCTATTCAGTGGCTTGTTACTCAGCCATAAAAAAGAAGTGGAGCCCGGATGTATGTTGTAACATGGAAGCATCTTGCTGGGTGAAGTAAGCCAGGCTATCTGATACTATGAAATTAGGAAGCAGGTTAGCAGTTGCCAGAGGCTGGTGGGAAGATGCGGAGTGACGACTGCTGGGTGTTTCTTTTTGGGGTGAGGAGAAGAATGTCCTGGAACTGAATGGTAGTCATGATTGCATGCATGGTAGATGCACTAAACGCCACCAGTGTCACACATACCGATGTTATAGGTGTGATTTGCTAATCTGAAAAAATAAGTACGCGTGCACTTAGTCATTTCAATTCTAAATTATTTAAAAGCTAAGAATGTGACAAAACTGATTTATTTAAAAATATTTAATTGTGTGTGTATGTGTGTGTATTTGTGTGTCTGTCTGATTGTGTTGGGTATATGACATGACCATATACTCGTGGAAGCTTGCAGAGAGGATTTGTTTCCTCGGGACTGGAGTTCAAGTGGCTGTAAACTTCTGGATGTGGATGCTGGGAGTCAGACTCAGGTCCTCCAGAAGAGCAGCACACATTCTCAGTGGCTGAGCTGTCCCTCCAGTCTTGGCTTAATTCTTTTGAGACAGGTTTTTGCTGTGTATCTCAGTTGGCTTAATAACTCACTTTGTTGCCCGGAATGTCCTCAAACATACAGTTGGTCCTCTTACCTTTAGCTTTGTGTGCGATGGGATTACAAGCCATGAGCCATGTCTGACTATCCTAGCCAAAATTTCTTCTATGTCTGTGTGCGTATATGGTGTGTGTTGAGCACAGACACAGCAGAGGTCAGAGGGTAACCCCAGATGTTGATCTTGTTTGCCCTACAGATGTTAGGTTAGTTGGACTGTGAGATCCTGGGAGTTCAACTGTCTCCACTTCCTATCTCATATGAGAGCAGGGATTATAGACGCACACAGTGGTCCACCTTTACGTGAGTTCTGGGGATCTCAACTCAGGTCCTCACACGTGCCACAAGCACTCTTGTCCACAGAGCCTTCTCCTTAGCCCCATCCTAGCTGTAATTTTTAGGAGTCATCGCTGTAGGGACGGAAGATGGTTATAAAAAGAGTGATTTCGTTTGTCTGGGTTTTCTAGACTCTGACTCCTCCCCTTCTGAGATATAGTTTGGCATAGCCCAAACTGACCTCCACTTTGTGTGTAGCAGAGGCTTGCCTTGAATTCCTGATTCTTGCGTGGCCTCACCTCCCAACTCCTGGGATTATAGGCGTGTGCAGCTACGCCCACCTAAGGTGGGTAGACTTCCTGTAGATGCTTTGAAAACCAAAGAGAAACAGGCGTGGTGGGGGAGATGCTCGAATAAAAGAAAGCAGAGAACAAAAGAGAGCCTGGTGACAGAATGTTAAAGGCCCACCCCAGGAGGAAAGTCCCGTCACCCCTCTGAGGCCAAGGGCCCCCTGAGGAGCTCCCTGGGCCCTCTCGGTCCTCACCCTGCCCAGCCTCTTCAAGCCGGCCTTCCAGGATCCTTCCCTCTTTGTCCAGTGTCTCCAGGAGTTCTGTCTGTGTCTTCTCCACCTAGAGTGAAGAGTGGGGTCAGGAGCGAGGCGGGATGGGCTAAAGCAGTCTCTCAACTGCTCACAGCAGACAACCTGCATGCTCAGCGCCCCACCTTCTCTATGACTGACGGGAGAGATGATGGGGACAGGACAGAGCCCTCTGAGACATAGCAGGCTCCAGAGGGCCTGTTGTCCCTAGGCTCAGATAATTTACCAGAGGATTGCCTGGGTAGAAAGGGTCTCGGGAGTCTTTTATTGCTGATGTTCCAAGGGGCAGGACAGGCCTCTGTTGGGGACATGGAGCATGCCGCCCCCCCCCCCCCACACACACACCTGACGCTACTTCAAGTTCTAAAGGCTACAGCTCAGCTCTGCCTTATGCTGCCAGGTTCCTGATCTGCCCTCTGGGGTCCCCCCTCCCCTTGCCCCAGACAGGCTCACAGAGACCAGAGAACAGCAGCAGCAGGAGTCCGGATCACTTTCTTCTGGCTGACTGCTCCCAGCCAGTCTCACTGTCCCACACCTGAGATGTGTGGCAGTCCCACTGAACTTTGGGGGCCAGGATCAGACAACAGCATTCAATCAGGAGCCTGTGTGCCCTGGGGACAGCTCCCCCCTCCCCCACCCCCAGGCATTCCTCATTCAAATAAGTCTCACAGTTAAGGATGCTGCAGGTCAGGGGTTGGGTCAGCAACAACAGGACAGTTGTATTATCAAAACCCACGATGGCCCCACAGACACGCACATCTGACTCACCCTTCCAGAAAAGGCAGGCTTTGGAAAGGTCATCTAAGCAACCAATGTTCCAGTGTATTCAGGGGGCTCCCAGAAGACACTGGTGCTGAGGCAGCACCCTCAAGTCTGTCTGTAAACTAATAGAGCCCAACAGAAATTCTTTTAAACGAATCTTTGTGGGGCTGGAGAGATGGCTCAGAGGCTAAGTGTCTTTCCCTGCTCTTCCAGAGGTCCTGACTTCTGTTTCCAGCACCCACACCTGGTGGCTCATAACCAACCGTGTCTCCAGCTCCAGTGGATCTGACACCCTCCTTCTGGCCTCCACAGACAGTTACACACACACACACACACACACACACACACACACGCATGAATTCACATAAAAATAAATATTAAAAAATCTCGCTGTGCACTGGGTATGTAGAGGTCAGTAGAGCAGGAGGTCCAGGAGTTCAAGGTCAAATTTGGTTGCATAGTAAACTTGAGGCTAGCCTAGGTACCTGAGACTCTCTCAAAGAAACAACAAACAGAAGGTTACACAATGTAACGAAGCAATTGGTTTCAAACTATGCAGGTTCATTTGCAAAGATTCAAATTTCAGAATTTTGAAGACTGAGTTTGTTTCCTATGTACGGTTAAAGACAGCCAGTTTGATGATAGTGAGAAAATACTCATACATCTGCCTAAGGTTTTACCCACTGCTTCAAGAGCAAGAGAGGAAACTGAGGCAGATAGATGGAAGGGCTCATGACTGAGCTAAGGAGGAGGAACAGGAAACCCTGGGCCATGGCTGCTCGAGCTGGTTTTAAGCTGAATTTTCTATATCACTTTCCTCATGTCCCCATGCCCTTTGACTTCTGACTAACACAATCTGATCATTACATAAAACCTCCTGCATGTTTTTTTTTTCTAAATAATTTTTCAAGCCTCTGTGTCAGGGAGGTACCACAGAAATGCCATAGACGCCTCTAATCTCACGCTTGTTATCTATCCTGGACTTTCAACCTTCTAAATATCTCCCAGCTTGCCAAGCATTTAACCAGAGAGCTACACCCCAAAAATGCTTCATAAAATTGCTTTATGCTTTATTTAGCAAGCGTGAGTATGTGTGTGTCTCACACATGTGTGGAGGCCAGAGGTCAACCTGTGGGAGCCAGTTCTCTGCCTTCACTATGTGGGTCTTAGGGACAGAATTCAGGACATCGGCCTTGACAGCAAGGGCCCTTATCTCTTGAGTCATCTACCCAGCCTGTTTGCTTTATTTTTATTTATGCATATGTGGATCAAGATGTGTGTGTGTGTGTGTGTGTGTGTGTGTGTGTGTGTGTACCACATCCATATGGGTGCTTCTGGGGCTAGAAGAGGGTATTTTGTCTCCTGGACCTGGGTGACTGACAGTTGTCAGTCATGGATGCTTGGGTCCTCTGGTAAAGCAGCAAGTTCCCTTAGCTGGTAAATCATCTTTGAAGCACTGTGCTTGGGTTTTTCGTTTGCTTTGCTTTGTTTGTTTGTTTGTTTTATTTGTCAGGCTGGCCTCAAACTCATGATCCTCCTGTTTCCACCTCCCAAATCCTTGGATTATGGGAGAATACCACAATACTCATCTGTAGTTGTATTTAACATCTGATCTTTTGTCTCAGTCAGGAGAGACGAAATGATGTGGCCACGTTCACATGGCAAAGGAGCTTAAGACCAAAGCTTTCTCATTCGCTTTATGTTCCCTTCAACTGTGCAGTCGCCCTTGTGGATGACACAGTGAGGAGGAAGATGGAGCGGCTGTGGCTTCAACAATGCCAGGCCTCTGCTTAGACTGACAGACCTTAAGCATCTTGAGCCAAGTACTAAATGCAGGAAGTCGGCAGGCCAGAGGTGATGTGTCTGGAACTGATTTTGGTCTCTCTGTCTCCGTCCACTCTCTAGGATTAGTTCAACAACCCAATCCAACCATGCCAATGGCATACAAAGGCCATTGACTCCATCAGCACCAAGGACTGGCTTTTGTCATGCCTACTCTGGGTGAGAGTGGCTTCTTGCTCTATGGGTGGCAGCCAATGCACCCTGAAGCAAATGCCCCGAGATCATGGCTTCCATTTTTATTCTTCTATTTTTATAAATATGTGTGTGTGCGCGTGTGCATGCCACAGTGCATGGATAGAGAAGAGAGGACAAGCGTGGGGAGTCAGTTCTCTCTACCGTGAGTCCTTGGGGTCAAACTGAGGTCATCAGCCTTGGAGGCAAATACCTTTACCTCCTAAACCATCTCGCCAGTCCCAAAGGTTCCCTTCTTTTTTAAAAATTAAATTTTATTTTTTAATTAAAAAGTTTATTTATTTGCTTATTTATCTATTTAATATGTATGAGCGTTTTGTCTGGATGTGTATTTGTGCACCCCGTGTGCGCCTGGTGTCTGATGAGGCCAGAAGAGGGCATCAGATCCATTGGGACTGGCATTATAGACAGTTGCGAGCTGCCCTGTTGGTTCTAGAAATCGAACCTGGCTCCTCTGGAAGAGTTGTGGGTACTTTTAACTGCTGAGCTATCTGTCTCCCTGGCCCCAAAGGTTTTCTTCCTGGCAAAAGGATTATGAGATGTTTATAAAAATAGCCAAAGTAGGGCAGGTGAGATAGGTCAGTGGGTAAAGGAGTTTGCCACTAAATCTAACAACCTGAATTCAATCCTCAGGAGCCACACGGTGGAAGGGAGAGAACTGATTGCTAATATTATTAGCTGTCCTCTGTCCTCTACTTGTGTGTCACTGTATGTGAGTATATGCTACACACACACACACACACACACACACACCACGCATGCACACATACACAGAGGAAATAAAAAATAGCATTATGAAGCTCTGGTTACGACAAACAAGGAAATTAAGGTCTCATGGGGGGTATTTCAAATTAGATTTCACCTTGACAGGGTGGAGATGCACACCTATAATCCCAGCACTCAGGAGGCTAAAGCAGGAGGATTGCAGGTTCGAGGCCAACCAGAGTTACATGGAGAGTTCAAAACAAAAAGTAGGACCAACCCAGGGCTGGAGAGAACATTTGTTGCTCTTCCAGAGGACCAGAGTGCAGTTCCCAACACCCACATCAGGCAGCTCATGATTGCCTATAACTCCGGCACCAGGAGAACTGACACCCTCTACTGGTCTCCATGGGAATCTGCATTCACGTGGCATTCACTAGCATAAAAATACACTGACATATAAATACAAATAACTCTTAAAAACGACACCAGACAACAAGCAGTCAGTGCAGAACCACACAGACAAATACTAGTTAAAGTAATTGTCAAGAAGGCTGGGGTTCTGGAAACATCTTAAACTCAGATTGTGTTGCGGCATGAGCTTCCAGACCTCAGCTCCCTCAGAGTGGTAGAAACACCTGCAGATCTAGCACAACACAGAGTTCAGATGCTGGAGGCTTTGGCGGCGTGTCTGAGAAACAGCAGGAACCGGCCCTGCAGAGCGTGGCAGAGCTCCCAGGCTGCCTCTGGTCTCACAGTATATCATCTGAAACAAAGTCACAAACTCAGGAAACACTGTGTTCTTCCACGTAACAATCACTACAGAGAGGAGGACCTTGTCTCCAGGAGCATCTGCCAGCAGCAAGAAGGTCATAGCCTTCCCAGGGCCTGACAAAAGCCTCTCCAGGCTAGCACTTGCACAGTGACACCTGGGACTCCCTCCAGGCAGTTCCTAGTCTCCGCTCCCCATCCTCTGCATTCCTGATACAGCAGGAATCGAACCCAGGGCCTTGTGTGTGGTAAGCAGGCACTTTGCCACTGAACTACATCACCCTTGAGGCCCCTGGCACTTTCTTCAACATTAATACATAATGCGATTTTTTTTCCAGTTACACAGGAGTCAGCATTTGCTTTAGACATTAGGGAGAACACAGAAAAATGTAAAAGTAAAATCCTGGGATACATAAGCCTGGACTACAGCAGAGTATATTATATACCTGCATATCCATATTTGGAGCTGTGGTGTTATGTATGGTTTCTAGTACCTTAATTTCTCAGACATTATGAATATTTATCATGGCACATTAATTGGTCTGCAAATATATTAATTATAATGAGCTAAGTGAAATATTCTGGGAATACACCTAGTTTTTAAATCTTTTTAAAAAAGATTTATTTATTTATTGTGAATAGTGTTCCGCCTGCATGTATGCCTGCATGCCAGAAGAGGGCGCCAGATCTCATTACAGATGGCTGTGAGCCACCATGTGGTTGTTGGAAATTGAACTCAGGATGACTGGAAGAGCAGTCAGT